TTCGGTTCGGCAGGTTCGCGGTTCGCAGTTCCTAAACCGGTATTGCGGTTCCAGCGGTTCCTGAGGAATCGGTTCCGGTTCGCGGTTCCAGTTCGGTTCGTTACCTTTCATGAAAGATGACCAAAGCCCCTTTGCAAGGAACAGGGCCGAAGATCGAGGCAGAAAGCACCAAGCGCAACCAACCTGCAACCTAGTGGTGGCACTCGTGACTACATGTTGAAAACATGAGTCACCTCAGACATCCCAGATTAACAGAGCAGAGACGCAAAGGTAGCACACGCTGATTCAGATGACCGAAACGTTCAGTGCAAGTCTTGTCTAATGTTCCTACACATTCCCGCATTTCCGTTCTTGAGCTCGTGCCATGACCGAGGCATCCTGTCGGGTCTAAGAGTACACCGTCAGCACCCTGTACACACTGTGTACGGAAGGTTCCAGAACCCATTTGCTACCGGTGTGGCTCGCTCAGAGACTTGCTGATGTGCGCTGGAGACCTGCTTCATTGTTGAGGTGGATATCCTTGGTCGGGGCACGCTGAAAACTTGGGGCCCTACAACAAGCCAATGCCTCACAGAAGCTGATGCGGCTTGATGTTGATCCTTGCCAGTGCCTTAGAGCCAAAGCCGGTAGCGCAGGTGGTGCCTGAGACGTTGGGCAGCTGGTGTCGTCGTTCTGTTTACAGACCTTGACCCAGACTGCCACCAAGTGCTTGTCAAGTGTCAAAGAAGCAGATGCTGCCGAGGATTCAGTGACCGGCGATCCTTTTTTCCTTTTCGGCAAGGAAAAGCGCTTGGATGGAGGCCAAGTCGGTTGTCAGGTGTTCTTTCTTAGAATCAGAATCTTAGAAGCCAACACCGAGAGAGTTTCCTTCAGGCTACAACGCTTTCTGGGGGTTCGGCGAGCTTCACGAGAAGGAGACACGAGTTGTCCACACTTCGGCGCAGATGTTGCTGGGTTTCCAGATCAGGACCCGCATCAGACCGCGGCGCGGGAAGCCTGTGAAGAGGTAACTGCCCAGGGGACTTCTCACTTTATGGCTTGGTGCCTCGCTCTCGAGGCCTTAGGCATGTTGGGCAATCAGCAGGAGATCCTTGCATCTATTGAGGGGCAGGCTGGCCAAGGTGGTTGCACTAGCTGCGGGGATTCAATGTCGCCAATCAGGAGAGTGCTGATGCCGAAGTGTTCTTGTTTCTGCATCCGCCACAGCTCATGTGCCAGTTTACGGAGGCTTCGCCGTCTGGGCACACACATGTCTGCCGAGGCTGAGCATTGGCGCTCAGCAGGTTGCAGCGCTTGTGGATCGGACTGGACCTCATGAATTGAAGCGGTTCGAAAAACGGCGGCGAGTTTGCTTGGAGGATTGCACCAGTATTGAGGTACCACGAGAGGCGCGCCATCTCTCCATGACTCCGCATTCGGCCTTAGCATAGATGCTGGGGTGTGAAGATTTGTTTGCTTTCGTTGGAGTGTCATATGCATTCTTCGTCCCGGCGAGACCTGTCCTGCAACGCCCACTTCGCAGTATCGTCGCGCGGCTGCGAGCCAGCCCGGCCCGGCGGCCCGATCATGCCCGGTCTGTCGTCCTGGAAAGACACCTGGCGCAGAGGGTGCCTCTGTTGCTGTGCTGGTGTAACTGTTGAGAAGCTCGAGCCGAGAGGGCACGGATTTTTTTAGCACGGGTGAATATATGACATATAATTACAATATGATTGGCCAACACCTATGCATCAGCACGGTGGTGGAGGCAGAAGCAAAAGGGGAAACAACGAAATAAGCGTAGCACCGGAGCCATTCGTCCATTGTACCTGCGACCGAGCTGGGTCTGCTCCGGCCGCATTCCCACGTTTGCTGCCCTCCCAGTTTCTGGCACTGCATTCCGCAAGTCTCGCAGTGCTTTGTAGCCGTTCGTGTGTGTGGCAGCAACAGATCATGCACTTGAACAATCAATGATGCGTCCGCCTTCGGATGTTGGCTTTAAGTCTTGAGCTGCACTGTGCACAGCAAACAGCGGAAAGCAAATTTGCAGGCGGCAACTGTGGATCTCAGCTGCTGAGAGTCCGGTCCTGCTAGTGGATTCGGGCCTGTGAAAAGCCAAAGCTGCCAAACTCAGGCCTGAAGCCGCCTGGGTCTTTGGCCATGACAGCGTCGACGAAATCTTTGCACGGATCCTGCTCCTAGGCTCACGCAACCTGGACTGCGGCCAGGAGGCAGGGAGGGTCGAAATGTGTCTAAATGTTGAACAGCCGGTCACACCGCGGTGCAGGGGGCGAAGAATCTGCTTCCAGGCGACATCATGGACGCGCTGTTTGCAGTTCCTGCCCAGGAATTCCTTGCTGCGTGCTGGCAGCTGCAGGCCTTTCTGCCCTTTTGCATAGCGAAAGCAAGAAAATCGAATTCCATGCTTGAGGATCGGCGCGGCAAGGGAGGCCATGGATGTCATGGCATGTCATGGCCATTCGCATTGGCTCCTGTGGAACAGCACACAGAGTGCAGGTGCAGCTGTTTCACTGCACTCGATGAACGGCGGTGTCTTCATGCCCAAAGCAGTTTCCCCAGGTCCGGAAGCCGTGAATTGGCATCTGCAGTCCAAGCTTTGGGTCAAGTGTCACCCAAAAAGGTCGAAGCCAAGGGCTCCAAGAAGGGTGCCTCTGCTTCAGGACCTTTTCACACTCACGTCATGTTTCGAAGCATAGCTGCAGAGCCTGACTGGCAGGAGGTCTGCGACCGAGACCCCCAGCAGTTTGCCTGGCAAAGCTGTTAGCCAGGTCTGCGGTCTGCATGCATCCGCATGCATCCGCCTTGCCTGCAGCCTTCTGCGTGAGGCCCCAGACCGACACCGCAGTGAAGCTGCAGCGCTTCTGCTCGAAAGGCAGGGCCGAGCGGCAGAGTCTAGTCGAAGCCTAGGCCGTTTGTAGCGCTGACATTTCGCAGGACTGGTGCTCCCCCCTCACGTCCCGAAAGCCGCTTGTGTGCCGGGAATTACACGCGACGGGCTTCCAGATGGGTCCATGCTGGCGGTGCAGGCTTGTGCAAGCTTTAGGGCAGCCAGAAAGTTGCCACCGTCTGCAATGCCGTTTGCATTGCAGGCTATCTTTTCCGCAACCTGGACTGGTCCGCGCGGAACTGGTTTGGCCTGCACGGCCGAATCTCTCGCAGATGCTTGTGCTACTTTTCTCAGCCATGCCCTCAGGCCATTTAACACGATGTGCTTCGGAATGTTGCTAGGCTAGACAATACGGCACCCACTACGCATGCAGGACGCCTTGAACCACCAGACGTAAAGTTGTATTTCGCTGCAGTGAGCCCGGAGAACCAAAGCATCCCGCCACTACGATGCCGGAACTGACACAGGCCTGGATAGAACGTGCTATGGACTCGCCTCAGCAGGAGGGAAGCCACTGAATGAAGCCCGATGCAGCACCTTTCTGCGCGGCAGGCGAAGCTTGCTGCAAGCCACATTGCAAGGCCAACAATTGGGCTCCGGATGTCAGGACAGTAGGTTGCAGACGCTTCCTTTAGACACCAGATTGGTCCAACGTGTCCCCGTGGTTCCGCTTTTGCAGGAGCAGGCGCGTGCGGTAGAAACCTCGTCCTTTGAGGGAGGCATCTGCAGTTGTCAGAAGGTCACCCAGACAATTGGAGATGCATGCCAGCTGGTGTCTCAGAGGACACACTGCCGAGCTTTCCGAGCATGTGCTTTCTGGGTCTTTCGTAAGGCGTGTAGATGCGGCGCTATCTGCAAGAGGCACTGCTGACTTCGACGGTCGCTGCTGTCGAGGATATTGCTGACCTGCTACGTTGCGAGAAGGTGATGTCTCTGGTGCAGACCATGGCAAGATTGACCATGAGAGCTTGACGTCCTGCTATCAACTTTTATCAGGTGAGGCCTTGCCGTTTGATGCAATGCCATGAACATTTGTGCTTGCCAGAGAGGTGCTTCATTCGTCAATGAGCTAGTGAAGGTGAGGCTGAGCGCAGTTGGCTAAGGGTTCATATTGCACATGAAGAGCAGCCAACATTCGGTTGCGCGTACTTCTCGATGATGTGCTGTCGTCGTTGGCATAGGTCTTTGAAGTCTATCGACTTGTGGGTTTAATCGAAGCTAGCCGGATCCAGTGTTGACTCTTGTTCGCTCGATGGTTTCAGATGTGAGACGTCTCAAAGCTATTTGCACCTCGAATGTGATGGCTCAGGCTTGAGAGCATTCCTAGTTTGATGTCGCTTTGTCAAGCGTAGGGCTCCAGTGATGAGACCGGGGATTGGCAAACTCTTGGTAGACGCAGCAAGCTCCAACGGGCATAACGTGCACACGCAGCGTGAAAGATCGGGATGTCCCCAGACCCAGCCCAGACCATAGACACAAGGTGCCTGGATTTGCAAAGCTACGTTGCGAGTGTTGGGGTAGCTGATCATTTCGACTTGGTTGAAATACGTGGGACCCCTCCTCGCGGCGAATTTGATGTGTTGTGCTCAGGAGAAGGCGAGACAACACGTCGAATCGACTGCGTCTCGGCACAGGCTGGCTTGGCCGGCTTGGTTGCCTTTGGGAGCCATGCAGCAGGAGTTTGGAAGAATTTCTGCCCGGAAGCTGGAGAACAACTCCGGGCCGGCCAGGGCATGACTGTGGTGGCCAGCGAGCCCTCGTTTTGCAACGCTTGCGTCAAGTGATGGCCTACACTCCGGACTGAAACGGCCTTGGGGTGACATACCGTGCACGCACGGCCTCCGCCCCTCTATTTATACGATTTCCGTGTCGGTCTTGGATGGCCGTGACTCGTGTGGTCCACAAGACTCGTGGTACAGACGCTTCGGTGAATGCTAATCTTGGGCGTTCTCGGGCAGCACGGCTGCCAAAAAAACGGCATATTCGCTGGGAGGACGACGTCCGAGCTGCAAGGAGAAGTGCCCAGGCAGCAGTCTGTCTTCCAATGTTCTGTCTTGCTACCGTAGCCCGAACCGCTCTGTTTTGTGACTTGTGTCTATTCAGCTTTCTACGTCTACGAGTTTGAAGGTTGGTGCTTACCCACATGCCTCATGGAAACCCGCCAGGCATCCTTTGGTTGCGATCGGAAGTGGAGATGTGGAAGTGCAGAAGGAGGCGAGACGAACTGGACTCAGAAGGTGCCGCACGCAGCCCGAGCTTCCAAAATGTGGCCTTTCACGTGTGTGTGTGTGTGTGTGCGCGCGTGCACTTCTCTCGGACATGAGATAAGGGGTTCACAACCCTTGTACCGCGCTCAGTTCACTCTGCATAGCATGCATCAGTTCGACAGGTACGAAAAGGATTTCGAGAAAGTTTCGTACTGCAGG